TGGCCCTATCGCAAACCTCCTATGTACATACAACAACCTTCCGATCACACACGGCAAGGAAGTAACTGGAAACCTTCCCATCACCGAATGGCTACGGGCCTGGGATCCTTTCCAGGAGACAGTAGAGATGTTTTTCCCATTCACGAATATCATACGGACCTGGGCGTCACCTCTCCGAATCTACGGGCCGATGACCTCTCACTGTTTATGCATTCCTCAAAGGCACTAACATACGGGACACTTAGACTAGGGTTCTCACGCATACATCATTTTTCAAAACAAAGCATTTATACGAAATATTAAGTGCGATAAATATGGAATACGTCATAAATGTACCCACCTGATAGCAGCACGGTTCACAGTCACAAATCTCGAAATAAGGCAAGGTCCACACCTCTAGACACCTACATGATGTCAAGATCCTACAATCAGAATCTATCTCGACTTAAATCGGAAATCACAAGACAGACCTAGTCGAACTCGTTTCGACTAAGTAGTTCGTGAAGTCCTGTGGATGTTGGAACACTAAGACTCGACTCTAAACTCGACTAAACCACATAAGGGAGTTCACACAAATCCATCTAAGGATTGACCAAGTCAAATACACATAAAAACCAAAAAGCAAGTCGATCCAAATCTTCCATATAACAATTATGCTCGAAAATTGAAATCATTTAATCGCATGAAAATAGATGGTCGAGCTACCCAACGAATTAAGCTCTGAAAATTTACATAAAATTTCATCTCCCAGAAACATGTAAAACCACAAAGTTTCAGCTTTAAACTCAAAATACCCTATTTTATAAAATTCGAATAGTAATTCAGCAAAAAGGGTACATTAATTCATACTCAGACTTAATGAATGAATCTGATCTTGAAAATTTTACACAATAACATACAGTATGCCAAAGTCCATTTGTAAAAATCTCAGCCCTAAATGATAACTGCTGCTATTTTTAAAAATTCAAACGAGCAACAGCAGTTTATCAAATTTAAACCCAAACTGAATCAACACGGACTCTAAAAATTCTCATATTTTACAAACATGATCAAACACCTAAAATATGACACTCAGCAAAATTTAAGAATTTTCCATGCAGTAACCGATTTTTAAAAATTCAAACAACATTTCTGCCGAATCAATAAATAAAATAGTATCCATATCAAATCAACTCCATAACTTCCAAAAATTTAACAAAACACATATAAGTCACATAGGCACGACATATTCGAATTTCAGCTCATTTCAGTCAAGCATGAATTTATTATGCATTTAACAATATTCTGGACAGAATACAAATTAATTATTAAAAATAGCTACAGGTCTCCAAAAATTATGAAAATTTTACACAAGGCAGAATATGAACAGATAACACATCCCTCAAAATTTCACATCGTTTCAAGCAGCGAGCTATTTTTAAAAATTCGAACATCAAAACAGCGATTTACAAGCTCGACAACTTGGCAATTAAATCACAACATAAAATTTCTCGCCCGAGGCCTTTTCATAAGACCAAGGACTCGACATTGTTCCAATATCCACCGACTTACACGACTTTCGAGGTCTCATTCGATTTTTAAGAAAATCGAAGAGATCCCGAACATACGAACACATAAAATCATAACGAACACACAAATTATATCGAACACAATCGCACAATATACACATCTCATACATCGAATCACAAAAGCACATCACGTTTATTTAAACACGATAAGCAATTAACATAAAAAAAACCATTTAAACGAGACGAGATCGACTAGGTACCGTTCTCGGGAAAAATCGAAAAACGGAACGAAAGAGAAGGCGAGCTCGTGGCAAGCTCGACGGCAAGCGTCGTCTCGCGAAGAAGGGTCGTCGCTGCTGCTGGTCTCGGTCGGAGATGGCGGCTCGATGAGGCGCTAAAACGGGCCTGCGAGGAGGAGCAGGGGTGGTTGCTCGCTGGAGTTGCTGGCTCGTAGAGAAGAGGTCGAACTCGCCTGAAAACTTACGAACAGGGGGGCCGCTGCTCGATCAAACGGAGGTGCTGCAATGGCGCCGCGGCGCGGCAGGGGTCCCGCGGTGGCGTCGCGGCGCGGCGGAAGTTGCTGGGAGGGCGTCGCGAAGGAGTTTCGCCGGAGGTTCATCACGATGGGGTGTTGCAGCGGTTATGGAGCTTCCTGTGGGGGTCGGCTGCGCGTGGGCAGGGGCTCACCGGAATCGTGACGAGGGCTCGAGGAGGTGCTGCTCGCGGAGGGGAAAGAGGAGGTCAGCGGAGGGAGGTGCGCGGAATAGCAGTTGCAGACGGAGGTGCTTGCAGGCATCGTCGAGGCTTCACGATGGTAGGATTTCCGGCGAGAGGGAAGGATGGAGGCGACGTATTTGGTTTGGATCGCGAGGGGAAAGAAAGAGGTTGTGATCTGCGATGGCTACGGCTCGATTTGTTTTGAACCAAAGAGAGAGAGATAGATACAACTATATATACATATATACTTATTCTAGGTTGACTTGGTCCACAAGATTAAATCACTCACGCACACAACCGGGTAGGAAAAGGAAAAGGGAATAGAAAACCGGTTTAAGGAGGAGAATTCGGCCTGATTTGGGTTGGGCCGAACAGGGTTCGGTCCGAAAAAATATAAATCGGCTCACAGGCTCGATTTCGGTTCAAACGAATATTCTCGGGCCCAACTTCGATTCAAACGCACGATAAAATAAATCGAACAACAAAAATATCTTATATTTATTAATACACATAATAAACATTTTATGGTTCAACACGAAATAAATTGGCTTCTCGGCTCGGGTTCTTCGTTTACTAATTGACAGCTCATCTCAATCGCACGATAAATAAACAAAACTCCGAACAGTATAAATTAAATACGTACATTGCTTTTAAAATACTAATATTAATAATCAAAATATACAATTAGAAATTTAAAGACAATTAGACATATAATTTTTTTTTTTTACATTTAGACAATTTATCATTTAATCACATTTAGGCAATTAATATTAGGCACTCAATATTAATATTAATAACATCACAATAATAATAATAATAATAATAATTACTTCAAATAAGTCACAAATAAATGGGGCATTACAGATGGGCAGTCTATTCATATATGGAAGTCACCATGGATTCCAAATGCAGTTAATTTCAAACCAGAATGTCCCTTTCCCACTGATCAAATAAGATTGGCCAAGGCTGGAGACATTATGAAAGAGGACAAGAAGGTGTGGGATGAAGAATTGGTGAGACAAACATTTACATCAGAGGATGCTGAGAAGATCTTGAGTATTACCATCAACAGAGGAGGAATCAAAGACAAATTGATGTGGCATTTCAATAAGACATGAGAATTTTTAGTCAAGAGTGCCTATAATGCAATTCAGAAAATAAGGAAGGAAAGTACAGGGCTAGTGAAAAGCAGTACAAGAGGAAAAATGCAAAGAAGGATGTGGAACAGAACATAGAAATGGCCATTAAACCTAAGTTAAAGCACCTTATCTGGAGATGTTATCATGGCTGCATTGGATCACTGAGTAACCTGGGCAGTAGAAGTGTGGTTGAAGATGAAAGATGTAGAGGTTGTGGGGATGAGGCAGAGACTCTAGAAAACATGTTATTCAGTTGTGAGAGGGCTAGGAGGGTGTGGGAAATAGCAGGGATATCCTGGGATAAACTACAACAGGAACATGTGGATTTTAAAGGGTGGTGGGAGGAGATATGCTGTTTAAAACTTAAAGAGAGTGGCAAAGGATAGGATATCACCGTCGACCTACATTGTGTGGTTGTTGTGGAAAACAAGGAATGGATGGATTTTTAATCAGGAATGGGTGTCAGAGAGGCAGGTGGTAGATAGAGCCTATCAGGAATGGCTGGAGTTTGACAATGTGAACAGCATAAAGGGAGCAGATTCTGTGCAGTTGCAAGGAGTAGGGGCTCAAGGCCTTGAGTTCAGTGCTAATGTAACTAAGACAGAGGTTGACTATGTGAAAGGGATGGCATGGCAGGAGAATAAGTTGGTTCACAGGTGGTTCATCCTACATTCCCAACAAAAGCAGCATGGAGTGGGGAAGCTCAGAGGTCTAAAAGAGTGGCTACTCTTAGGCAAAGAAGCAGGATGACAAACAGTGAAAATACAGATCAATGATGTTCCACTCAGAAATAGGCTTATGGAACAGCATTGTCAAAGCTTTGGGGATATTGAAAGTGTTCAAGAGCTTTTCTGTTTTCTATCTTGTTTTTCCTCTTGCTATTTTGTTGAGATTCTTGCTCGGGATTAAACTGGTTATTTGTGTTTGGTTTTTTCTTTTTTGAGTGGCCTAGTTGGTTGTGTAGGGGATACAATGTTTAGTCCTTCTGTTGATCCTTATCTGGTTTGGTAGAAAAGTGTGTAACTTGTAGCTGGTTGGCTATGCGCCTATGCGTATGTACATTTTGAGTTTTCGTTCTATGGAATTTGATGTTGTTTCGNAAAAAAAGTTCCTATTGTTTTGAAAAAAATAAAAAATAGTGCCGATTTTCAAATCCTTTTTTACCATTCTAGCCCCAAGATCCCTAAATTTGCACAAGTTCATAACAGGTTCTAGAATTATGGGTTCTCAATTCCTTATACCAGAATCTAGTATAATTTTAGTTTGGAGTCGGAACTAGTGGTTTGGGGGTTTGATTCTGGTTACCGTCCATGACTAGGTTCCAGTTGCAATAAGAAACCTAATTAAGTTGTATTTAATTTAATCAGTAAATATTTATGCTTCTCATTTTTGGTGTCACTCAAATTAACATAATAATGTTCAAATGTAAATATAACTAAAAATAATACTATGTTTTTAATTATAAATAAAAATATTCCGCAGTTATTTGTGAAATCAATTCTGTCATGCACAAGTTGTACGTAATCATGGATGGTCAACATCGGTTAGTGGCAGTGCACCTTTATTTGCAAGGCTTGAGTGCCGTGTCTGGGCATTACACGTAAACATTGACGAAGCATTATCCATTAGTTAGACAATGGAAGAGGTGAGGATTGGATTAATTCAAAACAGGAACATTAATTAAGTTGGATTAATCATAAAATACAACATCAAATCGCTGACACCCCAAATTAAAATTTAATGGTACCGTAGCTACCGTTTACCACACACGCACACATACAAACCAAGGAAAAAAAAGAAAATAAAAAAAAAGGAAAAAAGAAAAGTGGAAAGTTCAGTAAGGTTGTGTTGTGGGGGGCACAGGCGTTGTGATAACCTCTAGTATCTGCACCACCTCGGCCATGGATGGCCTGCTGGACGGCAGCTGAGACGTGCACACGAGTGCCAGCTTAAGCAGCGGCAGCACCTCCTCTTCCTCCTGGTAACAAAGTCCCATCCTCTTGTCCACACAGTCGAGCACATTCCCCCTCTCCACCATTCTCTTCACCTCCTCCGTCAGCACCACAACCCTCCCCTCCTCATAATACTCCACCGCTCTCCTACCCGTCACCACCTCCAACACCACCACCCCAAACCCGTACACGTCACACTTGTCATTCACCCTCAGGCTCCCGCACCCCACCTCGGGGGCCATGTACCCCTGGCCCCCCACTCCCCTGGGCCCACCCACCAGCCTCGCTAGCCCGAAGTCCGATAGCCTCGGCCTTTTATCCTCATCAAGGAGCACGTTCCCGGGCCTCACCCCGTGATGCACGATTGGAGGCCGGAACGCGTGGTGCAGGTGGGCCAGGCCCCTGGCCGTCCCCACCACGATCCCCAGCCGCTCGGCCCACGTCAGGGCCTCCGGGTGCTCGTGCAGCCTCCACTGCAGGCTTCCCCCGGCTGCACGGTCCGAGACCAGAAGCTGAAGCTGAGGTGTCCAGTAGTATCCTCTGAGTGGGTTCAGATTCGGGTGGCGCGCTTTCCCGAGGATGCGGACCTCTCGATCAAACTCCTCGTGGCACGTTTTAACTAGGAGTTTTTTTATCACCAGCCTTCCGGATGGGGCCTGATAGACGGTCCCCAATGCTCCTTCCCCGATCACAGCCGCTTTAGAGAGGATAGAGTCGAGACCGCTGCCGAACCAGTCAGCGGAGACGGACGACTTGGAGTCGAAGAGAATGAGTTTTCCGGCACCTGCGGCGGAGATGTTGGAGGACGAGGTCGAACACATGCTTTCCAGGGCGTTTTCTATGAATGCGATCCTTCTACGGGCCGAGGCGTTGAGCAAAGTTATGACCAAAACGCCGACGGCTATGACGGCGGCAGCTGACATGGCGACTATGGCGGAGACACTGAGGAACCTGCGGTTGCGGGACACGGCGTCGTTGGGGTTTATTCCTGACGAGGGGTTTCGGTTGCCGTGGGCGTAGGGGTCGAGAACGAGAGGCTTGGGAACGTCGAGCATGCAGGGTCCCTTGAGGATAGGGGAGCAGAGGCCTAAATTTCCCTCGATTGCGCTCGAGTCCAGGGTCGGGAAGATGCTACCGGGGGGAAGTCGGCCGACGAGCCTGTTGTGGGAGAGATTCGCGATTACGAGATTCTGGAGTTGGCCGAGTTCACGGGGCATCTCCCCTGTCAGTTGGTTCACCTCAAGCTTCAGAATCTTGAGATTTGTCAATGAAGACATGGATTCAGGAATGGGTCCGCTCAGGTTGTTGTGGGACAAGCTCCTGCACGTAGTAAATATCAATTAAACCTGTTATTTTAAAAACAGAATAATAATAAGAGGAGAAAAGGATTTCTGGCATTGGAAATGAGAAACACAACAGCATGAAACTCACAGCAAGTAGAGAGACGAACAGTTTCCTATTTCACGAGGGATGGGAGCCGTCAACAAGTTCCCATCCAGCTGAAGGATGGCCAAGCTGCCGGCAGACTCGCAAATGTCGCCCGGTATCGATCCTGTCAACTCATTGTTTCTCATATCTAAAACCGCGAGATTTCGAAAGCGACCGAGCTCGTGCGGCATACTCGTCGCCAGATGGTTCCACGACAGATTCAGGTACCTCACTCTCGATTCTGCCGGTAAGGGGAGTGGTCCCCGCAGATTGTTGCTCGACAGATCCAATATCTGGAGTGTCTCGAAAGCTTTACCATTGGAATCCGGGGGAAGAATCGCCCCAGTCAGGTTGTTTCTAGAGAGATCCATTTCGTCCAGCTTCATTTCGAACAAGCCGTCCGGTATGCTCCCGTTGAGGCTATTCCCGCTCAACCGAATCACAGATAAGCTATAGCACTCGCTCAACGACCCGGGAATGGTCCCGCTCAACATATTACCAGACAAGCTCAGAAATTCGAGGGACTTCAATTCCCCAATCGATTCAGGAATTGTTCCCGTAAGAGCATTCCTAGACATATCCAAGTATTTGAGGCTGCTGCTGCCTACTTTCCCAATCCACCGAGGGAAATCTCCGGCTAGAGAGTTTCCGGACAGGCTCAAATAAACGAGCCAACTCAGCCGCTGCAGGGTCTCGGGAATAGGTCCTACCAACAGGTTGTCGCTCAAGTCGAGGCGGGACAAGTGTGGGCAGAGGCCGATGTCAGCTGGCAAAGGCCCCGAGAACTGATTCCCACGTAGAACGAGCTCCTTGAGATTATGAACTGCCGAAGCACCAGGCGGTAAGGGTCCCGTGAACAGGTTCCCGGAGAGGTCCAACGTGCGGAGCCTCGTGAGGGACCAAACGGCTCCTGCAGGGACGCCCGAGAAGCGATTGCCTGAAAGGTTGAGGTGATTGAGGGAGCCGCATTTCCAGAGGGTGCTCGGGATGGCCCCCTCGAGATGGTTCCCGGCCAACGAGAGGTACCTTAGGGAGGATGAGGAGTTTCCGAAGATGTCGTCGGGGAGGGGGCCCGAGAGGGAGTTTCCGGAGAGGTCGAGAAAATGAAGGGCGGAGATTTTCGGGGGCAGATTGCCGGAGAGGGAGTTGCGGCTGAGATTGAGGCGGCGGAGGTTGGGGATGAGGGCAAGGTCGGGGGTGAGGGGCCCCGTGAGGGCGTTGTTGGAGAGGGAAAGGGAGTTGAGGGAGTGTAGCCTGTCGAGGCCGCGGCCGATTTTACCGGAGAGGGAGAGGTTGTCGAGGGAGAGGGAGGTGACGCGGCCGGTGGTAGGGTTGCAGAGGACATGAAGCCAGGCGCAAGGGGAGGGGTCGTCTTCGTTCCAGGAGGCGAGGGAGTTGGAGGGGTCTTGGAGGCCTGATTTGAAGACGATGAGGCCCAGGACGTCGTCGTTGAGCTGGCCTCCGGCTGAGGACACGAGGACGGTGAGGATTAGGAATGAAAGGATTAGGGAGGAGGCCATGGGAGCGAGCTTCCCTATTTTAGGTAGATAATGCTGAAAAAGATGATATCACGGGATGAAATGTTATGTGGTTGATAGATGCAAATTTTTCAGAAACAGGAATCTCAGCAGAATGTTTTTAACTTCTTTTCTGCTCACATCTCTAACAAAGTATCAATCACTGCAGGTCCAGGTCCAGTTGTGGGGACCCTTATTACTAGATTTAAAACTTTGGTCTTATGGCTTTGTAATTTTGGTAACCTCAAATGTGTCTAACCTGACTAGTAGTAAAGTGCAAGTGCGTTCATCTGCACGTGGTGATTAATTTTTTTCTCTTTAATTTTGTAATAAAGATAAATAATTAATTTGTTAATTATGCCGATGAGATAAAAAAATAATAAATAAAATGAATAAGATGAGTTCTTTTTGAAAATTTAAATATAATAACTATCATGAGTTGGTGAGATAACATATATTAGGATAACAATGTAAAATTGATGGAATACAATGACATTTCATTATTAGGATACCAATGTAAAATTGATGAAATACAATGACTTTCTAATGAAATGCGAGTATAATTTTTATCAATTGTATTAATTCCTTTTATTCAAATTTATAAGATAAGCTTGAGATGAATAATAATAATAATAATAAAAAAGATAATTAAATCATATACGTTGACGGTGGGTCGTCAACGGTTATGAAACAATTTTTAAGGCGCTTAAATAGGGTGTAACGAAATAATTATGGTATATTTTAGTGAGGTGGAATATAATGAGATTGCAATTAAATAAATATGATTAAAAATAAAACGAGACACCGATTTCGCCGATCGACTTTGGTGATCGCGTGGAAATTTATTAGATACTTTATATGATGATTACAGTGGAATGTTTTTGTATGAGTGATATTCAGGAAATCCATATATACAATAGCATGGAGTAGAATAATGAAGATCATAATGATCTTTGAAGGGTCTGGTCTGGTTTAGCTAAGACAGACCCCTGTTGGCTTTCTTTAGTTCAGCGTAAATTGACTTAGGTTAGCTTGGGTTGGCTTGCCATTTTTCTTCGGGCTAGATGATCGGTATTTATACACAACAAAAGTGTCGGTGCATTAATGAAGTGTCAACTAGGAGCGTATGGTGGCACTGCGTGTTTTCACGCATAAGTTGATGGGATATCTCTGGCGGTGTTATCAGCTTTATCAAGACGTGCTCAGACGGTCAGGGCGATTGTCGTTCTTCTCTGGAAAGCTTTCGCGGGTAATCGTCATGCCGAATAGGGCAATCGACAATCCTAAAAGTGCTCGCTTGAGCAGTCCGCGGGATGATTTCTACGTTCTGGGCCTTGTCCAACATTTTGGGCTGAGATTTGAATGGGGGTCATATTTTTTTTCGTGATCGAATATTTTTTAGGTACAACATAGAGGCCTCCAGGTTTTGAGGCAGGGAGAGATCACTTGAGCCGCCTGTAAAGCTAAGTTCAAAATTGGTGCCAATACAAAAGTGCATTGAGAATCCCGTGACGGTTACATTGAATGGACGCGAGACATCATTTAGAAGCATTAAATAGGGAGACATATCTTGTCGGAATTAAGGCATGTCAGTTCAAGTGCAGACACTTCTCTTGGAGTTAGAGCCTTAAAGTGACAGAATGCAATGGTTGGAGGCAAACCCTTCGTATAAAAGGGAGGTACCATGTTGCCTATTTTTAGAAATTCCCAAGGATTTGAATTTTTGAAAAACTCTAACATAACCCTTTGTTTTCTTCTTTTCTTTTTTGATAATCATGTCTTCCTCGAGCGATCATGAAATGAGAGTGATCGAGAGCTAGATTCTTATGCACGAGGGTTTTTGGCGTCGTTTGTCGGTACACAAACCTACGGAGGAGGGTGACATGGAGATATGTACTCATGCGAGTAGCTTGAAAGATCCCGAACTGCTGAGGCTACGCAAGAAGTACGAGATCCTCGGGTTCATCAAGATGCTTGCCTTGTATGAAGGCGTGCAGGCCCACTGTCCTGCAGAGGAGAATGTCACAGTGCATAAGGAGACGATATTGTTGGGATTGAGGTTCTCGCTGCCTTCTATGATTGCCAAATATTTGAAGGAATAGGGGATCACCGTTATCCACCTACACCCAAACATCATATATCGCTTGTGCTCTTCGATGGTGATGTTCGACTCGAAATGATGGTCGACTCTGACGAGGGAAGAGTTAGAAGTCTATGTGTGGAGAACCGCCAAAGAGGGATCGGGATATTTCTACCTTTATCCTCGGGAAGCCAAGTACGCTAATTTGGTGAAGGATGTTCCCGAATCACAACATGGATAGAGTCTGGAATGGTTTTGGGTTGCCGAAGAGTGGCAAGGACGTGGGCCATCAGGTCGACAATATTCATTGTTGATCTATCTTGTGGAGAAGATGCTTGAGTACTTTTTACTTTTTTGTTTGAGATCGCTGATCTTGTGGGTTTTATCTTATATTTGTGATCACCTTATTTTTGTGATTGTTGTGCTTATACTATTTTGATGTAGCGGGTGGCAAGAATGCTCCGTCTATGACTACGAATATTTTCAAAAAAGCTTGAGAAAATCTTGGGTTTGACGATCCAGGAGAGAAGATGTCATACCTTTTGCGAAAAAGATGAGGCTGGCCAATGCAGTCCTTCATCTAGGCTTTGATGACACCCTAGTCAAGCCAAGTAAATAATTTCGATGTACATCAATAATTTATTTATTTATTTAATTTTTTGCCGATGTGTAGTGTTTTAAACAAGAATGGGTGAAGTGGGTGAGGACTTCATGTTAAAGATGNAAAAAGGAATTAAGAAGTTGAAAAACATGTTGTTGAGGAGCAAAGCAGAGGGTCCTCGAGCAAGGGTAACTCGCCGATGGCAGAAGAACCGCCAATCTCCATGGAGATTGAGGTGGGATCTCCGTCGACGACGATATTGAGAAAGAGGGGTATGAAGCTTCGGTCGATCGGATCGCCGAAGGGATCGATGAATAAATCAAAGCGGCCAAAGTGAAGGCCCTCCAGCAGAGATCTGCTTGACACTCCTCGCGTCATAGTTGAGATCGAATGGATGACTAGCCAGTATGGGAAGAGCTGAAGCTGGTGCAAAAAGCGATCGCTGGGGATCTCCAAGTCGCGTCTCGGATCGCCTAGGCCTCGCTGAACCATTGTTGGTTGCACCACGTCGCATGGGGGCTGTCGAACCATGGTCAGACTTCGTTGGGTCACTGTAGGTCACTTGAGTCGCTAACAGGTAACCAAGTGCAGTTGGGGTGCGATGGTTCGTGGGATTGCGCTGCTGTGCCCGCTGGTGAACGGGTATGCCAGGTCTCGCCGGGTCTGCCTTGCTGCTTTGCAGATTGCACGAGGTCTGTCAGGTCTCCTCGCACACGACCTAGGTCTACTCGCGGACGGATGCACTAGGACATTGTCGGTTCGCTGGGAGCGTCGCTAAGGTTGTGCGCACGCTGGCAAGCACCTTGCGCTAGGAGCGCTGCGCAAGACTGCGTGCGTCGGGGAGCGCCTGCACGAGGCTACGCACACTTGTGCACCTGAGAGCGCCTGAACAAGTCTGGGCGCGGCTGTGCTGGGCTGGGCCCGCTGTGGTGCCACCGTTGTCACCAGTTGATCATTGGACGTGTGAGGCTCGTCGCTGGTGGCCGGGGTTGATCGCAAGCAGGTTCTACATAATTACAGGATTTAATATATATATATATATATATATAAGGGCTGGTTCAAATAAATACTAGGTCTGGTGTGAGAACCGTGAGAACCATATTTGATGCTACTTTTAATTGTGTATGATGCTATTTTTAATATTGCATGGTGCTATCATTTTCATAAATACTAGTAAAAATTTTGTTGCTATTTTTAATCAAATACATCATAGTTAAAAATAACATAAACACAATCAATCATAGCACTACATACAAATAAAAATTACGATTCTCAGGCTTGGTTCTCATTTGAACCACATCCTATATATATATATATATATATATATATATATATATATATATAGGGGTTGGTTCAAATAAAAACTTGTCCTGGTGTGAGAACCGTGAGAACGATTTTTGATGCTATTTTTAGTTGTGTATGATGTTATTTTTCATATAAGATGATGCTATCATTTTTACAAGTGCTACCAGAAATTGTGTTACTATTTTTAAAAAAATTCATTCAAGTTAAAAATAGCATCAAACACAATCAATCATAGCATTACGCCCGAATAAAAATAGCGGTTCTCACAGTTCTCACACTAAGACTTGGTTCTCATTTGAACCACATCCTATATATATATATATATATATATACATCTACTTCCCTTGGTTTACCTCGAATCTTCTGTTGTATGACCCTACATCTTATTCGTTCGTCTCAGTGGGCGAGATCTCGGAGATATCTCGATTGGAATTTCCTAGAGAGGGGCGACTATACCTTGGGCGTTAGGTTTTTGCATAAGTCATCACATAAATCCCAAGAGATGTGATGTATTTATAGACTACAATAGGAACCCCAAGGAGGTGCTAAATAGGGGCTTCTAAAATTTAGGCATCACTGTGGGCCAAGCTCACTCTGCTCAAACTTGAATAATATATCAGTCCACTAAGAAAATATTATTGCACTTCTCGTTTAGCGCTAAAATTACATTTGAGGCTCCAATAATAATTACTCGATTTATCTCCCCATGTTTTAGATATAATATCCCTCAATTAATTTATTTACTGATAACAGAGTTAATTGACTTCTTGAACTGAGACTAGTACCACTCAAATCTTTATTATTATGTCGGAATAAATCCCACCAACTGGGTTTAACATAATAATCCTTCATGTGCTCATCTCAGGGATATCATCAGACTATCGTACATAGTGCCGTAAATATTCAAACAGCAGACCATACATATAGCATTACTACCCAAAATACGTCAGACTATTGACCCGTAGAATGGATCTCGCTTTTAGGTGAATCAAAGCAGTAGCTACTGAGTGCAGGTGCTTGTTCATATATTACGGGTTACGAGTATGTAGTAATTAATCGAGGTCTAGTTTGTTTACTTGATCAATACAAACAAACTTATCCTCCCTGGGATCCGTTCAATACACATAGTGTACTAGTGAAACGAATCAGTCAAGACAGACTATGTAATATCACATTCAGTAATTAATAAAAGTAATTATTCTAAGTATGAACTAATAACTTTTATTAATGCTCGTTCCTAGTTCCGAGCCATTTATTAAGTTATTCAGTTAAAAATTCGACTTTAAGTCGAAAGTATTATCGGTTCAATATTATTCAGTAATCGAGCCAGTTCAATAATTAATTAATTCTGGTCTGTTTATTTTTATAAATGGATTTATAAGACGGGATTAATTAATATAAGATGACGAATAATCGAAATTGAGTATATTTTAATTAATCGTTTAAGATAAGTAGTGAACTGAACCAAAGTATGTTCGGTCATGAGTTGAACTTAATTAAGAAATAGCTGAGGCTTAGTACTAAATACTTAGAATTTTTCTAAGTGTTTAAGTCATCAAGATAAGATCATAATATTGAGCCTTAGCATAAGTTGATACAAGTTAAGTCTCGAAGTGCGGATAAGTATCCATGAACATTTAAGTGATAAATGTTTAAAGAAGTGAGAAAATTTATTTAGACATTATAGTCTATTTAAATTATTTTAAGAGAAACCGAAATTTGTAGAATTTTCGGTTTTACGGTAATCATTCGGTTTAAGTCCGAATGTGGTTATGTAAATGTAGAATATTTAAAGATAATTATATTAGATCATAAGAAGCAATATGTTCATTAGATTGAAGAAAAACTGTGAGTAAAGAATTTAAATTTTAGAATTTTCAGTTTTACGGTAAACGTTCGTTTTAAGTCCGAATTGAGTTCCGTAAATTGTATTATTATCGGTTTATTAGCATGATCTAAGACCATATATGAGCATTACTTTTCAGTAAAAGAGTTTTAAAAATCAGCCATTTTGAAAGAAAATGCAGAAGTAATAAAAAAAAGATGATTTTTATTATTTTTATTATTTTGTTCCAAAGATTTTTATATGATGAATGGTGACATTTTTTCAATAATATATGGAATCAGTTACATCACATTAAGCACGAAATTTTGGTCATCAATTGGTGAGATTGAGATGAGAAAATCACAACAAAGTTTTGCTAAGTCTTTAAGTTAGCATTTTTTTCAACAATTGGTGAGAATTTTATTAAACTTGGTGGAATAAGTTTTATCTACCAAAAAGCTCATTTATGGCTGTAGATAGAGGCCATTTTTTATGATTAATTATGTTTGGATAAGAATACAAGTTAATCATAAAATAGTTTATGATTAATTAAGTTTATAAGTTTAAATTGTTTATTTTGTTCATTTCTTCACTCCATTATGATGTCTTGCCAAATTGTGCCTATAAATAGAGTCCTAAAAATCAGAGTTCTCACACCAAAGAAAAGTACCAAAAGATATATAAGAGTGTAAGAGAGATAAGTAGTAGAAATTGTGAAGAAGTGAAGAATCAAGTTACGATTCTAGCAAGAGGAGGTAATTTACTTATCTTAAAGTTTTATGAATAAGTTCATACTTCGATAATGAGTTTAGATGTTTATAAGTATGTATATGATGATTGAGAAGTTAAATTTATAATTGATTATATGAATACAAAGAGTTAAAGTTGTTCAAGATCAATTATATGATATATGTATTTGATTTGATAAGATGTTGGTGAAGATATGAATAATCTGAAAAAAGTATGATTTAAATGAGTAATTCTTGTGTAAAAGAAGAGTACATGAGAACAGGAATTAAGTTATTTGGCATAGTATAACTTAAGTTATAGAGATTTGAAGATGAACATGTATGCTGAATTTTATGTTCAATGTTTTTAGTTGTAACTTCAAATTCTAATAACTTGATGTATATGCATGCTAAAATTATGAAATTTTTATGACATGTCTAATTATGAGTTGAGATTATGACTGTTAAATTTCATGATTTGAAGATGAGAATTGAATAAGTTGAGAGAATTAGATGGCATATATGTAAAGATGAGTTTATATGCAAGAATATTCATGATATGTTCAAGTTGTTTAAATGAGATTATTATGAACAATTCTCATTTAAGTGATGAACAATTTGATAAAGTTTTAGTTTAATGTTGAGTATACAATTTTATAAAGATTGTTTTAAATCTGACATATTAATATCATGATTAAAAGTTGAGTATGATTTGAGTTTATTTTCACTTTCAAGTTAATTAAGTGAAAAATGAGTATAAGCCAATATATGAGATTTGGGAAATATGATATATGATGAGTTAAGTATTTGATTGAGTAAAAGATCAAGAAAAGTTAAGTTTGAGCAATAGCATGAATATTGAAATTTTATAAGATTTGGATAAGTTATCCGAAAGAGTTGAGAATCCGAGCATTTTATTGAGTATACGAGCATAGTACTTAGTATATTTGTATATATTTTTATGTAGCTTGAGGAGTTAGCTACTCGAGATCAACACTTACGATTTTTCAAAGAAGAAAGGTGGGGACCCAGACTAGGTATTACATTGAATATAATATTGATATCATGTCCGAGGTATATATACAGTTTAAGTTTATACGCCTGGGATGAGGAGGCATTCAGTTGTCTCAGAGTATATCCTAAGTTCTGATGGAGGTCGTTTGAGTTGCCTTGAGAAATATCCATCAGATTGTGCACAAGTATCCGATCAGATATCGGCCAGATTCAGTTTAAGTTACTGGAACAGATTTCAAGTTCAGATATATACCAAAGATCATGATATTGTATTATTATTGTTGTTTGCTTTAGTATGGGTGATTTCGGGGTACAAGAGGATCAGTACTCACCCCCATTGTGTTTTTCAGGTAACAGGGTCGGGCCGGGAGGTGTGAGCTCGAGATGTGATGGTGGTGGTCGTGCACTTATTTCAAGTGGACATTTATTAAGTATTTGATATGTCTGTATAATAAACCACGTTTT